TGGGCATGACTCACTCATGCCAGTCTTGATGTCCTTGTGCATAACTTGCATGTCAGAAAGTTAATTCCTTTGTGATCTTGAAGGAGTGAAAATACATCTCTTATCTGCCAGCAGAGTGACCAAATTGGGTAGTAGCTGAGGATAACATAGAAACAGAATGAAACACAGAAACAGAGAAACATTTTTCTTCATTGAAAGTACTACCAGAACCTAGTCAGTCCCATTCAGCTGAGTGGCTTGTTGGTGGTGAACTTGCTCCTCTTGTTTTCTGCCTCACCACTTTTGCACAGTAACACAGCATCTTGGGGCAGGACACAATCCCCAACATAACAGATGATGATCAATCTGCCAGTGAGATCAGTCCCTTTCCCTCATCTCAGGCCAAAGAGGGATTTTAGGCCTTTGTCAAAGCAGCTGAGTAGCACAAGAGAGTTAATGCTGTATATGAAAAGGAATAAGTGTTATCTTCACGTTTTGAACCTTACTCTCAATCTCACATGTTCTGCCCAAGGACAACAAGAGTGGGGCAGAACTTCTGTTTCTTTTAATTGAAAACCAGTAAGAAAGACAAACATAAACATGACTCTTACTTTAGTTAAGTCCTTTTGCCTAGTATTGAGTCTGTAATCTCACTGAGAATGCTGTTTAGGTCCTGTTCCTCTTTACATTTTCTGTCTCCCTCAGCATATCTGTACTCAGCTTTCCACCTTTCTGAGTCTATTTCTCAAGTATCAGATGAACATTGAGCCACCACAGCAGACAGGTTTCTGAATGCCATTAGGCTGCAGGGTGTCCAAATACCTGCTATTGCAAGACTGAGTGCTCCACAACCCTCTCACAAATATGACCCCAAGCACACCCATACTATTGTATAGAAAGAAAACAGCTTCTTTAATAGAGATATCCAAATACAAAGTGCTATTCTATTCCTTCAGAGGACCGGGGCAATTTACTTTCTCATAAGGAGCTCTATTTGCATATCCAGAACAAAGCTTTCATTCATTCTTTATCTAAAGTGCATCAATAACAGGATCAGATGAAGGTCCATATTTTCTGACATACAAGGCTCTGGGAATAGGCCATAGCTGCAAGAAAACTTTAGTGTGGAACTAGCCGGAAATTCTTTGGCTGACAAAGGTAAGCCAGAGGTCAGCTAGAAAAAATACTTTTATCAGTCATTTCCTTTGCACCACAGCTGGGGAATGCACGGCCTGTGAGTTCATTTCATACGGCCTGTGGCCATTTAAATTTTTTCACGCTACTAGCAGATAACATCAAAATGTGAGTTAACAGGTAGCTTGGAAAAGGCATTCAAAAGGCTTTCAGGTTTCAGTGTTTCTCCAGCCCTGATGTCTTTTTGCCACAAATGCAAGTGCTACTCAGAAACCTGTAGCAACAGAAATTTTGTCACGTGGCAAAGGGAGTTTGAAACAAATATCTGCCACTAAAATAATGGTCATTTAAGGGAAGAGGGGGAGGACTATTTCAGCCCCAGATCAGCCTAGAGTCCTGAGAGCTCACTGTGACTGTCAAAAAATTACACTGAAAGTTTTTCAGGGCAGGTTGATTGATGTGATGCTTATGTATCCTTGTGACACATCATAAAATGGGTCCTGTAGATCATTATCAGTAGGCTAGGAGCAACGATCTGCACTGTTTTATTTTTTTCATTAGGGATTAAAAGATATAACATATCCACTCTGGATGGATTTGGCTCTTAGGTAACATGGGTCAGCTTCTGGGCTCTTCTTACAGACACCACACCGCAGCCCTCCCTGCTACCAAAGCCTTGCCACATAAACCTAATCAACATTTTACAATAAGCATTAAGAGTGCAAAATGACAGAATTTTGTTATGTATTTCTATTTCTTCAATTATAAAATCAAGGGCATCTTATTGTTCCACACATTTTTAATGTACCCACAAATTCGATCTGTAAATGTCAAAATGTGAAGTAGGACCTCTTGGATAGCTGTCAGGGACTTGTTATTAAAAGTCATTTTACACATTTATGTTACAAATATGCCCTACTTTAAAATTGTTACACTCTGTTAAAGACATGACTTAACATTTCTTCTTGGATCTCCACCTGGATGCAGGAAGAGCTATGGAATGCATTACTTCCCCTGCTTTGCCTTTCCAGCCTGGTCACTGAACACCATTCCTTGCATTTTGGAGGTAGTCCGGAGACTTCGACAAAGCCACTGATGATCATCACAGTGTGGGCTTAAATCACAATGTCAAGAAGAAGTTAACAAAGATGGTGAAAGGTCTGGAAGGCAAGGTATATGAGAGGTAGCTGAGGTCTCTTGGTTTGTTCAGCCCAGAGAAGAGGAGGCTGAGGGCAGACCTTATGGTGGCCTCCCAGGGGGAGTGTAGGGGCAGTGCTGAGCTCTACTTTCTGGTGACAGTGGAAGACCCAAGGGAATGAATGGAACTGTATCAGGGGAGAGTCAGATTGGGGATTAGGAAAAGATTCTTCACTAGAGGGGGGACAGCATGGAACAGGCTCCCCAGGGCACTGCTCATGGCCTCAAGCTGCTGGAGTTCACAAAGTGTTTGGACAGCACTCTCAGACATGGAATTTGAATTTTTGGGTGTTCTGTGTGGAGCCAGGAGTAGATAATGTTTGTGGGTTCATTTCAAATCAGAATATTCTATGATCCTTCTAAGGATAGAATGAGGCACTTTGCCAAGTGCTTCTCCAGGAGGAGCAGTTCACACAACCATCCTTCTCCTTCGAAAAAGAGACTTTCAGTATGGAGGACCATCTGCACAATACTGAATTTACTTGAAAACGTAGCATAATAATCTATTATGCTCTAATAATCTGTTCTCCAGCAGAACATTCCTTAAAACTGCAAATGGTTCCCAAAGCAACTGCTACAACCAGCCCCTAGCAAGCTCTTCTCCCTGCCTCTGCAGCTTTGTTGTCCCAGACCAGTGTCCTGCTTGCCTGGGTGGGGGATGCTCCCATCCCGCCCAGCAAAGCCTCCAAATGACTGCAGCCTCCACCTCCATCACCTGACCTGCCCGCAGCTCGGGGATTCCATCTCTAACCTCAGCAGGGAATACATGAAGGCAAATTTAAGGCACATCCACATGTTCCTGTTGGCATGGCTTCCACTACACAACACTGCTGCACCAGCACAGCTCTTACATTTACCGCAGCTTACAACAGGGATAAACAATGTCATCTCCTGATTTTCTTGCTACAGCTCTGATTCCATGTGAATTTTGTGGTGTTTATTTGCATGTGGGAAAGCTTCAGGACTAAAAGAAATCCAGTCAACAGACTTGAAGTGAAATACATAACATTTGCAAGGCAAGGGATGAAGCAAAAAACCAGACACATCAAAGCACAGATGAAACCAGAACATCCTGATAGCAATAGGACAGCCTATTGTCATTTGTCTCCATTATTGAATTGCCTCTTAAGTGCCCAGCATTTCCCACTGTGAGACCACATTGCTGATGGTATCTAACATATGATTTTAACCTCTTGGGCTGTAATTTTTCAAGACAGACTGCTATCTCAACAGGAGTATCCTCTAAAATGACAAAGAAAGAAAAAATAGAAAGAAAAAAAGAAGGAAAAAAAAAACAAAAAAAAACAAAAAAAAAACCACTACCAAAAAAGTCTACAATGAGATTAGAGGAAAAAGAGGGTTTCTGCTGTCTGAATATCTCAACTACTTTTCCTTTGAAAAAATATTTTCCTACTTGTGGTTTTGATACTCCATCCAGGACACATCTGTAAAAACCTGAGCAAATTATCAGCCCAAATAGATTCTAATAGTTTGCATATGTCCATAGGAAAAGTCAGATTTCAGGAACAGGAACAGGAGATTATTTTCAACCAGTGCTAAAAGCATGTAAGCAAAAATAAATAAGTAGAATATTATTTAGACAAATTAAAAAAAAAATTAAAAAAGTCTGCCACAGAGCTTTGCAGAGCTTTGCTGAAGCCCACAGACTGTGGATAATGTTTGCCTTTACATTACAGCACATTACTGCTTAAAATAAGCAGATTCAAAGAAGCTTTTATGGCTTTGTTGCTGGGCAGTGGTGTTGCAGCCATCTTGATTGCTCTGCATGGGGCCAGGTGGCACAGCCCATGCTCCTGCTGCCCCAGTACCTACACTGCAGCCCCAGCCCACCCCTGACATGAATCTGGCAGAGCCACACTGACCTCACTGTAGTCTCTAGGAGAGGAAATACAAGGCAAACCCTGCTCATTGATGAAGTGGGATTTTAAGAGGATACTTTGCACGAGTAAGGCAGGCAGTACTGCAGCATGTCTATTCCACTGGGAAGACAGGAGTGCAAGCTGCAACCAGAGTTCACCCTAAGTGAACAGTTACTGGGAGTGAGAACGATACATCTACCAGTACAGCAGCCAGGCTTCATATAACCATAAACAAACAGAGGATTTAGCAAAACATTTCCGAAGTGTTCTCAAGTGAGCTACCTCTGCTTGCACTGCTTTGGACCCCCATCCTCATGTAATGTCAGTGCCAGTTCTTTCCAGGACTTTTTTTTTTCTGTTTCCACTTACACATCTACACACATTAAAGATTACAGCTGGGAAACACCTGACGCAGCTGACTGCAGATATTGCTTAAGCCAATTCTCTCCTCCTGCACAGGGAACACTCTCATAACTGGGTTGCAGCAGCAGAACATCTTTCATAGCACATTTGGGAACACCACGCCCAAAGCAAAGCGATTTCAGGGAAGTCAGCAACTTTCATCAGTAAATATTAGGGGGTGCCTGCAAACACCTACCTTAAAGCAGAGCTCCTCTACAGAGCATCACTCGGAACTGTGGGGACTCAAATTCTGTGCTAGGTAATACTCCGATGCAACAGAGGAAATTTTTACCAGAGCTCTTCAGCACCGCTTGTGGCACGAGAAGATTTAATTTGAAGAATATGCAAATGACTGTGTTAATACACTGACAGACTTGGACTTTGTTGTGGTTGTGGTGAGCGGGTGTCCCAGCGGAGAACTATTCAGCACGTGTTTTCCCTCCCATTCTTTTTCTAACCCTGGCTAGAAAGCAGTGAGTTCTGTCCTGTTTTTATCCAGCTTGCAGGTAAAGGGTTACAGATTCTAGGAAGTATTAAATGCAAACTTTAAAGGATTTTATTTTCATCTGCAGTCACATGACAACTTAATACCCAATGACACTAACTACAGTGTCTCATTAAGAGGTCATGCAAACTCCCAAGCTAAACAAGGCATTCTTACATATTTAACATTCAAATGCAGGAGCCGAGCTAAGCAATGGAAGATTGTAATCAGAAAAAAGCAACACTTCCTGATCAGGACAAAAGCTACAGGTAGGAGAAGTTCTTGTTCCTTTAACTTTCAACACTGCTTTCAAGAGAAACTCTTTATAGAGCATGTTGTGTACTCTATTTCCTTTTTTTAGCTCTCAAAATAATCTAACACCTTTATCTGGAAAATATCAGATCTCACCTGTTTCACCTTTTGTAAAATTAGTTTTGTTTATATGCTCAGTTGGCTCAGCAGAAACCCAAACGAAACAGTGCTCTTAAGTGAAATGTAACTATAGAAAAACTAATATTTTTAAAGATTTCTTAGCTACTGAAACTGTTGTGTTCGAGTATGTAAGGTAAAAGGGGAGTTAATGCGTCTGATGTCTGACTTAGAACTCTTCTGACTTTACTTATACCATGAATTGCACATTGTTTCACTCTGATCAAAGCATATTTTAATGGATGTGGCTTTCTCGCTGAACTTTCATGATTTCTGATTTCCCTTCCTGCAATTTGGTGCATTTAGGAGGAAAAAAAATCTTACAAAAGCAAATGAAAGGCAGATGGGGAGAGTATTTCAGTGTTCAATAAAAGGAGAAAAAAATAAAAAAAACTGAAAAAATGGGGAGTAGAAGGACAGGCAGTCAGTTAATTAAGAATTTAAATTGTATGAAAGCATATCCATTAAGTGATAAAGTTTCCTTGACAATTGCTGGCAATACTGCAATTCATTTTTTTTGTTTTTGCTGATGGATTTGTCCAGGATACAGCATTAGCCCTCCATTCACAAAGATCTTCCTCTCATCTCAATTTTTCTCTAAACTTCACATGGGGCCGTACATACTCATCATTTTTATCCCTTTATAAGAATTTAGTTATAGACTACAAAACCTGCCATTTACCTACAGTTGCAGAGCCTATATTTACTCCTTTAGATATCACCTCCTAGGGATTCTCACTGCATAAAAGGGGTAAGTGGTGTTTATAGTTTTACTCCTATGATAGCAGGGAGGTAATTGCAAGCAATGTAAGTTTTCTGCATTTTATGAAAGCACAGAAAACCTCTCTCTTTTTCCTCTTCCCACATAATGCTAGTGTATACCAAAAAGAAGTGGAGAATAGCAATACCTACATCATCTTGCTACAGACTTGCTCTCAACTTTCTTTGCTTTATTATTACCAGTACTTAAAATAAATCCAAGGAAGTTGGAGCTCCAACAGGTTTATCACTAGTTATTAAAAAATAGTCGCTCAGTTCCAGGGTGGCCATCTAAACCTGTTGTGGGTCCAGCCTCAGACACCAACAAGTCTTTTACCAGCTATGGATACTTCTCTCCTTCTAGCAGAGAAGCTCACTGTGCAGGTGGGGACGTAGAAAGAAATGACCATGCTTTAAAACAACTGTTCTAAATTTACTATAACTGACCTCTTCATTTAAATTATTTACATATATATATATATTTATTTATTCAGTAACTCTTGTAGATAAGGGGCTTATTTGGTAAGCAAAATTTGAACATAAGGTAAACACACCAGATCCCAAATACACAGCCATTATGTTATACAAGCTTTCTCCTAAGGTGAATGTTGCACCCACCTGACATGCGGGAAGCAGCCTGCCAAGGCCAGACTCTTTTAGCAAATGTTTGTACACATCGGGTGGGTCATGAAAGCCAGCATTTAGGAGCTACACAAGCAAATCTGTTGAACACTGATTGCACAAAATGCCTTTGTAGGGTGGAAGACGCAAGAAACGCTAAAGTCATTCTGAGCAAACAGATATTAAATGAGGGTGGGAAACAGCTCACTTCCAAAGAGAGGCATATAGAAGAGTTTACTCCAAGCACACTAGCAGTTCAGATGTCCATTATACCAAAAATTTGCAATCATTACAATAATTTACACTGTTTTGATTATTACCTTTGTTTTCTGATGATATAACCCAACCTATTAGCTTGCTCTATCACTTCAACGTAGAATCAAATGTAGTTTCGTTCACAGGAAGGACACAAAATCAAAGACTTCCTTCTTGTAGGAAAGAGATCCTCAGAAACCAAGATCCATGCAAATCCAAGAGAGAATTTTTCTATCTTTGGGAAAAACCAAGGAAACACAAAAATCAAAATGCTTCCATGAGTTTGGAATTGTTTTCTTTTAGCCCCAAAACCAGAGCTAAGCAAAATATTGATCAAAAGTTAACCCAGCTCTTCCAAAATGCTTGTAAATCTCTAGAAACTTGTATCAGATTTAAGGCTTATACTGAAAATCATCAATCTGATGATCTTATTGCAGCTCTAGGCAGGTGGAAAGACAGAGCAAAAGCTGAAAGTGAATGCAGCTGTGGCTTCCCTGAAAAGCCAGGTAGAAAGCGATCACCATGCGAAGGAAACATAAACATTTTTGAGTGCTAAGGCTCTTCATTAACCACATGGTTGCTTTTATCACATCTCTAGGACACACAAGTAAGTATTTGCTTTAAACCAAGGTGCTTGATATAGGCAAGAGTGTATCCTCGCCTTCCCATTGAGCAGAAAACAAAGTACAGGATCTGAGGCACATAAAATACCACAGTGAAGGAGACCTGGCAAGCAATAGAGAAGGTCTGTATGGTCTCTGTGTGGTGGCCTCGTGCAGAACAAGAAAGATGGGCAGGAGAGGGGAAGTGGCTGGGCATGGGACAGGGTGTCTGGTGCCCCAACCAGCAGGACAGCTCAGGGCAAGCAGGACCTGCACAGGAAATGAGGGTCTGCTTTGGCTCCATGCTGTTCTACCACCTCAGGAAAGCCTTCATTCACATTTTGCAGGAAGGGGAGACCTTTTTGTGTATTTGCACAGTATCTAGTTAAACATAATCTCAGCCTTCTCAGCATCTCACACAACCATCATTTCACAAGTGACTTGGTGTGAACAAGACTTGACACACACAACCCACTGAAAGGTGATGAGATGTCATCAGATAATAAATATTTGCTTGGAACTTAAAATTCCTCTTCCAAAACCTGTTCATCTGCCACCTGACAACAGAGTGTGCCTGATTCTTCCACCAAAAAAGCATAAGCAATGATGCATGGACACGGTTGGGTTTTGCAAAGCTACAGAGCACAGATTCCAGCAAACTGGATATATTGCTATGGAAAATCGGTACAAAAAGTGATGTCGATTTTCTTACTGAAAGTTTGATATCAAATGGACAAAATAACTTTTGGAAGAGAGGTCAAAAGGTATTACTGGAAAGGGGGGAAAAAACAGCAATTTTTCCTTGACCTTCCCTTTAAGTCACTTTCACTTGGACATATGGAGGAACATTAAAATCTTATTAAAAGCTGAGTACATAGTTTGGAAACTAAACATTTAATCAGTTACAGCAGGAAGCAGGAAAAAAAAGACCTAAGATTTCTTTTTTGTGTGACGTTTTTGTCTGCAGTTTCTACAAAAGTTTATTTAACTTCCAATTCTTCACTTTAACCACAGATGTTGGCGGCAAAGCCACAGATGCTTTCTGGTTAGAAAAATATTTGTGGTCAAATAGTCTATTATTAATTCACATAAGTTATTTTTCCATTTGGGAAAGCAAGGAACAAGCCATCTCCTTGGGGCTTACTTTTTTTTGACATTACCAAATGGGCCTGGCTCCATTTTAAGTCATTCCCCAGCTATGAAAGAAAGCTGGGCATTGTTATTAAAAAGCAGTTAATTTTTGGATTTTACGTGAACAAGGCAAATGCCTTGTTATAGCAGACAGTCTGCCTTTGTGCAAGAGATGAGGAGCAAAGAGGAAAGTATCCCATGTGAGAGAGGAAACATACTCCAAGTGACTGAAAAATCTTTCAACCTGGAGCCCCCTCTGGGACCCTTTGCATGCTTACAGCAGTGGGAATAGTACCAAATCCTCATACACAGGCCAGGAGCAGAATACATGGCCTGCTGTAGGCTGTGCTGGTGCTGCCACAAATGTCTACTCTGATTTGAAGTCTCTGAGGGCTGCTTTAAGGCAGGAGCAGAGTGTCCCAAATGAGCTATATGGAACCATGTTCCCACAGGTTCAGGGATTTGCCAGGCAGTATGTTCCTTCATTCTCTGAAAATCTATCCTCCCCCAGGATTTATTGCAATGGTTAAATTTATTGCAGTGGTTGTATTTACAGCTCTCACTTCCCCGTTCATCCCACAACTACTTGCAACACTTTTATTAGATTTGGGAGTGCCCAGCATTATCAACCTTACTCAGCACTTGAACCTTGTGCAACAGCGCAGGACACAGAACAAGGGGCCCATGCACTGACACAGCAGTCTAACACTTTCCTCCCCTCCTCCTCCTGCAGCTTTCAGGTCTAGGCTGCAGCCACCCCAGGGCCAACCAGCAAATCTGTACTGCTCCACAGGACCCACCATCTTTTCTCCCCTAAAAAAAGTGTTAACCAGCTCTTACATTTCTTAAAGCATTCAAGCCTGTGAATGTGATCTTGTCGAGGTGATTTTAAAACTGTTTTTTTTTCTGAGGAGCTACTCTTCTGATCTGCTCACAGTAAAGGTATTCTTCTGATCTAGCTGCAGTAAAACAAGCATAAGGCTTTGGCAGTGTCAGATTTTTGAAGCAAGCTAGCAGCCCTGTTCACTTAGAGAACAGTGGAAAAAACCTTTCCGCTTTCAGAAACCTGAATAAAGCTTTGTTAAGGGCCTTTCAGTCTCTATTTTTGGCTTGGGTGTGGCATGGAAAAAACAATATTTACCATCTCAGTAGCTGTGTCCTTTGTGTATTTGTTTTCATATTCCCTTTCCCCATGTGAATTCAGCAGATGTTGCAGGGCTTGATATCAGCCCTGTACTTCTGTTATCTAAATGCGTGCACGTCTCCACTGAACGGCCCACATCTGTGCAGCAAAGATACAGATTCAACTGCCAGACAACATAATGAAGAAAAATACCGTAAGATTTCATTTGCAATGTAAATGAAACAGAAGCAACAGTGATCAGCCCTAAACTGAAGGCCTCCGGGGGCCTGAGAAGTTACAACCATGTACAACGTCCCATTTCTGTCCTAAACATCCCTTTTTAAATTAAAATCACTTGCGAAAGTATTCCATTGCATTGGATGAATATGCTCAGATTGCTAAAGGCTACTCCGTATTTACAGATATACATTAAAAACTAATGCTTAGTGCAATTATCCAATTCATTACCTGCCATAAAAACATTTCCATCCACTCACGTATAAACAAACAGATTTGCTGATGCACAGATGATCAAAAAGCTCAAACACCACTTAAGAAAACAGCAGACAAAGAGTGTGAGCTAGGGAAAGGAAAACTGGCTGCTTTCGTGCCAATACCATCACCAATATTAATCAGCCTGAACAGTTAGTTCTTTTTCACTTCTCTGCCATCCTTCCACAATAAAGCTTTACTGGAGAGCAACTGAGCCTTTTTAGCTCAGTACACATGCTGATATCCACATCTTGCTAGTGACAAAGACCAGGTTTGGGAAGCAAGGAGGTAAATCAGCCCTATGCTCTGGACAAGAAGCAGAATTTGAAATCAAGTCTCCTGAATTCTCTGAGAGCCGAATCTGTCTCCAGAGACTAACACTTCAAATCGTAGCACACTGACAATAAATCTCCTGTCATGAGGAAGTATGTCAAATCGGCTGGTAAATAAGTTATTACATACAGGCAGAAGACATTTGCTTTATGACAGAGCTACCTGAGACACACTGTACCCAGCCTCAGATAAACTCTCTGGAATAAGGAGTCTTGCTGAAAATGCAGTGTGCTGTTAGCTTTAAGTATTCAGCTGCAAGCGCAGTCCAACAAGTCAGTCTTAACTACGCAATCTACACTGATAATGTTGGTGAATTCTACCCATTCATTTGCCCAGAATTATACAAAAAAGGAAGAAAGAAATTAAAAATGGAAGAATTACTTTACTGACCCAATTCCAGAAAATACAAAGTCTGTCAGTGGAATTAATACTTTTCTATAGCTTTCAAGTATTGTTCAACTTGAGACTGAAACAGGTAGTGAATGCAATCAGGATAATCCATTCAATAATACTGCAGAAATTCATCTGTATTTCATTCACTTTTTTTTTTTTTAATCTTTTTCTCATTAGTGCCTCTTTAATACAATGGTCAACACTTTGGACCTGCCTTGTGCTGAGAAATATTTACTGTAATTACAACATAAAACTCTTATTCACAATCAATCTGATCATTCCCTTAGCCACGCATCATCACTCAATGCCTGCCAAGGAAATTGGTTGAAAATAACTAAATGGAAAAATTATTTAAAAGAAAAGTAAAAAGCCTTTGAGTGAAAAAGAATTCATGTAAGAGTAAAAAGATGCATTCCATGAAAGGGTCTTGAAAGTTATTGTATCAGAGGCTTTTCCTGAAGATTACTAGGTGCAACTTCAGCAGCTGTAGTGTTTTCTGTATCTTTCTATTTTAAAAGTTTTGTTATCCATTTTCACAGTGATTTGTAACTATAGCCTAAACAATCCTCTGCTCTTCTGCTCTCTGCTGGTTGTTCTTTATGTGAAGTGAAATGCTGAGGAACAATAAGGTGAAAAAATTCACCCTTGTATGTAGGAGTAGTTCCATGTAGGGTGAGCAGACCAAGGAAAGAAACTGGGAAAAAACAAACAAACAAAAAAGGAAAAGATATACATCAGATACATGAATATCTTTGAGCCCGTGGCTGATATAAACGTATCCTGATGGGGGAAAAAAAACAAAAAACAATGATTTATATGGTTTACGTTCTTTCAGAATAATTCCTATTTTCCATCTATGTATTTGATACCTCTTAAACATTCCCATATCTGAATGGGTCTAAGCAGTTTCACTTACAAGCTGCAAAATTACCTCACAGCCCTACCATTCACTAAAATACCACGTTCTAAACATCTAAACATCTGGTACTCCTACATTCTAGTACTGGCAGTCATCTGAATGGTGGACTGCCAGTATTTAACACAATCCTTCTGCTCACTGAACAAGCCAACTCTGCAATTACAGCACACTAAATTCATGGAGGAAAGGATCTTCTTCAGTCCAGCCTTATTATTTAGCTGGACTTCATTTTTGATCCAACTAAACACCAGAAAGGATAATAAATCACAATTAAAATGATTGATTTTACCACTATTTTCATACAGAATACTTGAATAAGGAGAGTTTGAGTTCTTTTTTTTGTTTGTTTTTGTTGTTAAGAGAAGCAAAGAATTTTTGCCACTTTCTTGTTTGCATCAAGGCATTCTCCAGGCTTTAAATTCTTCCACTCCATTCTTCCGCATATGCCTTATTCTAGTGTCCTATGCAAAGTCTTCCAATTTTCAGACCTACTAGCTTGCCTTTCCTTTAGTTGTTCACTCATGGTCCTCTCTTTCAAACTTGACAATTAAAAATACATTTTGGATGAGCAATAAAATTATAGCACGTGATTTGAGGGTCAAACCTACTCCTCTGTGTAGGATTCACTTTAGGATAGCAGTAACAAACCAAGGTTGTAACTCTAGCAAGCTCCAGCTATTTTTAAACAGGTTTCAGTGTCTTCTCTTTCTGTTTACATTCCAGTCTGAAGATACTGTTGTGAGATTTTCCCAAAAGATTTTCCAGTCTGCCAGCCACACAAAATGGCATGTTTTTCTGTACCTAAGTTAATTTCCTTTCAAACAATGAAACCAACAAAAATGCTTTTACCTATAGCTTTTAAGGAGCTACAGTTCCATATCTTCCCCAAAAACTGTCAAACTGCCTTGGTCTGTTAAGCTGCCAAACCTGTTAAATTGCCTTTGTCTCACAATTCTGAGTCTGTAAATCATTGTTTCTCCTAATCTTATGAAATTATTCTCCATTTTCTGTATCATTTCAGCTTAATACAAAAAGGCAAATCTTCAAAAACTTATTTCATAAGGCCAGTATCTGGGATGAGCCCCAGAAGCACGGCTCGTTGCCAATCCACAGTTTGCATTGCTGTAACAGCTGCATTAAATGAGCATTTGTTTAGCACAAAGTAAACCTGACGGGAACTTCTGTAAAGTTCGTTTAGTGCAGATAATCCAGTAGTGGTATGCTCCCCTGCTACAGGGCATGCATTGTTCATTATCACGCCGTGAATGAGCCTAGATTTGTATGTTGTACTCTTGACATGAAACTACATTAATCGTAGACTGAGATTTCTTTGTTTAGTAAAACAGACCGTTTCTGACCTGTTACTGTATCTCACATTCCTATAGCCCACAATAGACTTCTGTCCACAGGGCTCACTGCACAGTGCAGTGTTAATGCAGTTCAATAGCTCACCTAAAAACCCACACAAAATTCCAAACTCAACAACTGAGTCCATAAAGAGCCACCTGTTTTCTAGGTTTGGCCTTCTGCTTCACAGTTTGTGCAAAACTCTATTATTAACATGCAGGATTTGTTATTTTGGTTGTTTTGGCTTTCTTCATCTCCATGGTATCCCTGGTAAGAAGCATAATATCTGAAGATATCATAAGAAAGCCCTTTGTGCTCCAAAAGATATACAGAGTTTCTGGAATAAGGCTGCTGGAAACTTTGCAATATAACTGGTGGGTAAATATACTACCTCTCAGAGAAAGCTGGGTTGCCTTTCCCTGACAAATGGGAAGATTAACTCCATCAAGCCCAGCACGTTCAAGAGTCCTCCATCCTCAAATCTTCCTCATCACGTATCTCTTGCACTCCATTTGACAGAAGGAAAATTAAGCTTAAATTGTTGAAGACCTCATTCATTTATGCCAAGAAAATCCCACACAGTTTGAAATTAATTGATAACACAGAAATCCCCTCCCACCTGCCACATGGAGCCCAGTCTCCAAAAATCTGCAATATCTCTCTAGAGCGGTATGTGAAACAAACCTGTTTGCAGAACTACCTTCACCCTCCTCCCCTGCCATCTTCCCACACAGAGAAACATTTCACTACTTTTCTCTCACATGAAAAATAACATGCTCACATAAAAAACAAAGGCAAGATCATCATAACTCCTGGAAAAGCCTGATTTGAAAAAATAATTTCTTCTCTGAGTCAATACATTTTCCTCCAAGTAAAAAAAACAGCGTTTTTACTCCAACAAAAAGCAACACAAACAAGAGGCAGCATTTGAGTCAATGAACCCTTATGAAAGGCCTGCTAACAAAGGTATGCTTGAGCTTTATTCTTTCTCAGGACATTTCTTTTGCTTTCTAGGAGGCCTGAAGATGTCTTTGCAGAAGTACAGATTGCAATTGATAGCCACGAAACTTTCCATGAATGGCCTTGTCTAAAGCAGTCAGGTGAGCTGCCCAAAGGCCAGTTTCTGAGGAGTCATTCGTGGGGCACAAACACCCAACTCCTACTGCACCTAGGGCTAGGGCCCCTCCCCACCCACAATGTTCAAGGAAGCAGGTTGCACCATTGCCATACAGGATTTCCCCTTATAAAGAGGCTATAGGTACTTTGCAGATCACCTCATCAACAAGAGAGATGCCTACATGTCGTTTTTTTTTTTTTACACTATTTCCTTGTTTGTGTTACAGCAGCATCTGCAGGCACCGTAAGTGATAAGGCCACCTTACTTCAGCTGTCACCTACAGGATATGTTCTTACTAAATATTTACAGGTTAAAGAAAAAGGTCTAGAGGCCAGACTTGACCCAGATTTGATACCAGAGCACCTGCCTGTTGTAGGGGCAGTACAGAAAAACACCCAGCCCAAGCTTCTCTAACAACATGGATTATGTCACTCTGAGAAGTTAAAGCTCTGATCTTTAATCTCTTTGGATTTAGGAGGCTCTTAACCATGGGTACTTGAAATCCCAAGCTATAGGTAACTTCAGGAGGTTATTGTATAAGGTGCACCCATGTATCTGAGGTGCCTAACCAGCACAGCAAGGTCATTGCAAATTGTTTGGCTGCACAGCAGGTCTCCCTCTGGGAGAACCAAACATTGCAGCAGGGGCAACAGGGAGTCCAGAGCAGGACCTCACGTAGGCTGCCAGATATTAGTCAGACCTCTTAATCACAAAGACATTCTCACTGAGTGTTGCTCCACCCAATATATAACAGCTAATTACCCCAGTATTAATGCTTGCCAACTGTCTCCTTCTCTTTAGAGAAGGAAAGTTTCCTTAGGCTTTGCCCAGGGAGGCAAGCCTGAGTCCCCCAATTTCCACATTTCTTCCATGTCAGTATAACTTTCTAGTACCAAAGAAAAACCACAATCAACAAAAATATAAATATATTATCAGGGATCTTTCAAAGTAGTTTGAGTAACCAAGCTTTGTTTCTTTTGTAAAACACTACCTGCAACCTGCTCTTTCCCAGAGGCAATCATAATGATGGGTTTCCACTCCCTCTCTTCTCTGGTTTTAAGACAATGTCAAAACAGTGCCTGTGTTACAAATTAAACAGCAGATTGTTTTGCAAACTCCCTTGTTGTTTTCTCACTATCAATTTCCACCTGAATAAGGAGAGTTCTTTGAGGAAGAAAGAGAGAAAGTAGTGAAGAGCTGCCTCTACATCCTCTCACCTCTCATGGAAAAACCTTCTGCAGCTGCTGGTGGCCATCAGGGATTGTACCCAGGGGAGATCACTCAGGCACCCTCATGCCAGCTTCTTACCATGGTGCAATGGTTTCAGCACGTGTGGAGGCTTCTACTTCACAGATCCTTCTCATCTCATGACTTCAGAGAAAGCCACAGAAAAGTGTTGCCTTATTTTTTTTCTGATTTTTTTTCCCCCCAGTGGGTACTCTTATTCATTGCATTTTACTTTTACTTATTTTCCTTTTTCACACATACAGCAGAGCTGAAAGAAATTTGTGAGGGCTGTCTCATGGCAGCAGTTCAGCACTGCAGAAATTTAGCTGAGACAGGAAGCTACACTGCAAGTCTTCACATGTCACTTTTGGTGTAGAAAGCTTTGTCACATAGAAAATTTAAAAAATGTAGACTGACACGTTTAAAGAATTTCAAGAGATAAGAACTCAGCATAGTGTGAAAAAACCCTTATTTTTCTAATAGACAAAAATATCATATTTCTTTAGACTCTTTTTTCACCTCTTCACAATGAGCTGTGTAGACTGACACTTCATCAGACAGCAGGAGGGTTAGGAAAGAACTTTGCTACATTTTTATGCAGATTTTCCATTCCATCTTAGCAGAAACTAATTCTGGTGTTATTCTGACATGAACTTCACCATCTCTTCTTACCAGCACCTTCTCCAAGCCAGCACAGAAATTCATGTTTGAAAATCAGTCAGTCTGACAAGGAGCACAAAAATTAAGGGACCAGACAGCCTTCCAACTTGCTTCAGCAAACCCATTGCTAAGAGCAGCTCATGGCAAGAGTGATGAAGGCGTACTACACACAGCTCTAACCAAAACATGATGATATGTTGGCAGAGTTCAGCTGAAGAAATTTTCTACATAAGAATGATGTGCTGATTTAAATTGGTTTATGCTGATTAATTTACTCTTGCTTCACAACGGTGCCACTTCTGTGGGCAAACAAAGCTTCAGTCTTAAATAGATGCTTGAAATGTCGTTCTCATAGGATTCATTTAAATTAAGGAATAGGTTGCAAGAACAGACAATTTTGTGATTCAAAAAGTATTATGTGTTTCACAGACTTGGAACCCTGAACCATTATTCCATGATCTTATCCAAATGTTGATGTCGTCAATGAATTTTAAAGCAGCTTCTAATTAAGATAAATAAGGAAAACAGATGCTGCTGAAGAAATGGCCAGTAAGGATTTCTATTTCAAGACAGAACTCCTTTAAACACATAAGCAATTCTGCAAACTGTGGGATGTGATACACACAACTAAGTGATAGGCATTTAGTGAGACTTTGTGCCATTTTATAAGTCACTGAGCACTCAGCACAAAGGTGATGATATAAAATATAGAAGAATGGGCCCGTAGCCTCCACTTCTTCTAATTAAAAATAGACATAAATTTCATAAATCATAGCCAGTAGCATTTTCTCTCCAGGCTACAACAGCAATTGTTTTCCTTTAAAGAGTTTCATCTGCCCAAACCAAAAAAAAGAAGGAAAAAAAAAAAACCAAAAAAAAAAAAAAAAAAAACCAAAAAAACCCACCATGTTTAGTTTTCTTCACTCAGAGGAAAATACACACAAGATACCCATTCAAGCAGTTTCTGTATTTAAGCTCCTACAGTCAGTGGTGCTGTAATACAAGTCTCAACAGGGCCACAATGTGACCTTAAGAAAGTTAAATGGTATCACTGTGGAATTCTGTAGCAGAGTAGAAGTAAAATTAGGTCAGCCTAATTGAATTGCAGTAGTTTGAAAAACACCTTTGCTACCCACTTTGAAAGGGAGAACACCAGGGAAATGTTTTAGAATCTTCATCCTTCTTATTTCCAGCTTTGCTTGGAGAATTCACTGCTGGTGGACCCTCCCGGGCTTTTATTTGGCTGGAGGATGAAAATATTGCTATAATTAATGATAACATTTGTAAATGGACCTGAAGTTACCTTCAACAGCATTTTATCTGCCTTTTAAGCTGTTATGTGCACATTAGGTTTTATCAAGACCACCTAGATTTCTCACCCAGGAGAAAACTTTCCTGCAGGCTTGTCCTGGTCTGTTTTATGCAGCATTCTGACTACACAGAAAGCAGGAGAAGAGGGCAGAGCTGTCAACTGCTTTGGCAATGGCCTTTTCTGGCCTTTGGGGACAGCTTGTCTTTCTATCTGGAGGAGTGTGTGCTTAAAAAAAAATGAGAAAAACTAACTTTGGTCATGTAGGGCTTTCCACACAATCACCACGGGAAAAGGAATATAAATAAACACATAACAAAAGTGATCAGAAAAGTTTCCACTCAAGCCTGTGCTTAATAACAATGAATATTTAAAATGTCAGCTGAAGAGCCTCTATGGCGCATCGAGTCATCCCTCAGCTACATCTGTGTGATACTGATACAACTGGGAGCTGCGGCAAACAAGTCACACACTGAAGTTTGGGCCTTACAGGCTGCATGTTACCCAAATGTATGAATGATTGCTGAGCACATAGGGTTGCTTTCAACCACAAATTTACACAGTAACAGTTATCTCAAATACTGCTCCAGAAGAGTCGCGTGTAGCTCAGAATATTTTGCTATGACAGCTGCTTATACAGGAAATACCATTCCTCAAGGTTCCCCAATTTTCCTAGCCTTCAGCACAGTATGTTCCTTACCTCTATTAGTACAATCTTTATTACTAAGCCATTTATATAAGTTAGTTTCTGACTGAATCTCTAATCTTCTAACTGACAGGATTATAGATATCATGTTATATGATATTACTTAAGGGATTTTTCTACTTATAGAGTCAGTTTGCAATCTTCTCTCTGTCTAAATTATAGCCCAGGATTTAATGTCAACCATTTCTATGTCCTGAAAAATGTGAATAGAGGGAAATTCCATTTCTACGAGGGGTTCCCCATTGCTCTTTGCAGAGCCTATGACAGTACATTGCCACTTCAGAAACCTTTGTAATTTCTGTAGCTAAATTAGATGCTGCTTCATCATCACTGCCTGAAAATAGACTGGGAGATGACCAGGTGTCTGGGAATGCTGCTTACAAAAAGCCAGGTTCTAAGAGAGGTAGCTGCAACCCAGATAAAAGCTGCTGAGACTAGCTGATCACATGGGCATATTTGCATCCAACAGAGCATGCTACATCAGTGGCACTGGACAATGATAATGAAGAAGCTGTGAGAGAAGCAAAACGCTCACAGTGTACCTACCTACCCTTCTTGCCCACCAGTAAAATCCACAGTTTGTTGTAATAACACTGTGAACAGAAGTAAAAGCCAGAAAAAGGTCCATAGCAAATCTGCAGAGAGGAGCTGAAGATCCATGGCAGAACATGTGGCTTGTTAAGCTGCCATAAGTTTCAGTTCAATTAATACCTGCTGTGAACTTCATTAAAAAGAAATACAAGAAACACATCATCTTCCACCTTTCCCTACTCTGAAAACAGCCTTATCCAATAACAAGATGAGGCCAACAGCAGAGAAGATGATTTACTTTATCAGTCATCCCTGTGTAATATCTCAGAGCATGCAACACAGCCTTTACAAACAGTTGTGCTGATGAAATGGGGCTGATGATTTTACACAATAGTTGTGTTGCTGCCAGGTATAGCATTAACATTAACTTAAGAAACAGTTCATGTCTTTTGGTTAGAGATGTTATATATAGATGAGAAAGATAAAATATTTATTCTACAGTTAGATGAAAAAATGCACTTTTATAACAAAGTCATAGCATCCAAGTCGCCTGGTGTTCGACATTCTTTGTGAACTTTCCCCAGAATTACTTGGGAAAGCAATTACTTGGTGTCTGCCCAGTACAGTCGTGTGTTTGAATGGAGCAGTGAAGTTGCATTTTTTGACTGGAACTTGTTATGAATGTTCTTGTTTTGACAAGAGTGTTTAAAAGCCAAGGACTGTGGATCTTTTCAAAGTATGAGAATGTCAGAGAAAGGAAGAGAGGCTGAGGATTTGCCTCATTATGTTGTGCAGCAGATTGCACTCAACACTCACTTTGAATCCTAAGTTCCATATAAATATTCATAAATGCATTCATCACAGGTCTAGTAACATTATTCTGAAACTTAGAGACCCAATTCTTGAATCCCAGACAGGCCTTGTCAATTTAACCAAGAAAGAAAAAGAAAAAACAACTTGAACTGATGGTGCGAGGACAACCATACAGGGTTTGGGTAATCACAGCAGAGTGCATGGCATTCTGCTCCTGTGGCTTACAGGCACTCTCACACCTGTAGTCAACACAGGGAAAAAAGGGCAACATTCAACCATTTTTCACTCTTTTGGGGTTTACTGTTCAGTATTTGAATACAGCACCATTGTTTTCCAAATCCAGGAGATTAACTCAGCCCCTCAGAAACTTCTACACTAACCAAAATACCAATCCATACATAAGTTCAAATAATGCTCTGAATAACTATTTCTTCTTAAAAAAAAAAAATAAAATTAAAGCTGTATACATTGTCCAAAATTCTCTCTGTGCCTAGACAGAGGCAATGAAAACACACACTTCACTGTAGACTAAAGGGATAATACATAATCCCTTTATATAATTTAGAGTTATATAATACAAATACCAGGGAACATTTGATCAGATCAAAAAGGGGACTAATTCAAAATAGAGCAAATAAAATTATTCTTCTGGCATAACTAGACCAGGCAATTTATTGCTGAGAGAAAGAATACAGTAAGGTTTCCATGAAAAACAATGCTTTGTAATGTTACAACTGTGAATAATATGAAACCAGACATAAGTTTTAAGAAGTTAAAAGTTTTAGAAGACTCTAATTTTTCTAAGTCAAGAGACAAAAGCCATGTTGGACGGATGTAAATGTTGTACAATAGCAGTTCCCTGACAGGCACTTTCACTACTTCTAAGAGATCTGATGCTCAGTACAGGTCTGAGCCTGAGTCTGATCAAGTTTGACAATTTCTGTGTCTCTTCACACACAATAAAAGAAAAAACGAACAAACAAGACAGTCAGATATTCCTGATGATCCATTGCAAGGACAAGTAAAGCTTTTCTGTTTGTTTAGCAAAGTGGCAGGATACATCTATTTCATTGCCTTTAATATTATATTTAAATTTCCACTCTCTGTGCTTTCCCCTAGAGTACTTTGTAGCAGTTGTTGCTTTTGTTGAGCAGAACTCAGGTGGAACTAAGATGGAGACTCTTCCAACCTGCTGCTCCTTTGCAGCTCTGAGCCAGGTGTCCAAAGAATAAGGATTTGCTGCAGTCACTGACTTGCCACCTGCCTGAGGCATTCAACTGTATCTAGAACAATGATGCTGGAAAGTACTCATGAGTAAATACCCAATAACATTTCTGTGTTTATAGCATCTGTGAAAGGTGTGGAGAAGGCAATTTCTCTACTGCTTGTTTCCTGAGCAAGTCAAACCCATTAATTAAATTTATGCTCTTGTCCTGTTTCAAAAGGAAAAACGGAGCTGATTTATGGGCACTGACAGCTGCAGGAACCAGGAGCTTGTTTAGCTCTCACCACCACTAATTAATTTTTAAGCATCTGGGCAAGTTGGTTTCTGATCAAATGAGAAGTTGAATGTCCTCAACTTCTACAAAGAAAGACAAAGGAAGATGCTCCATCCAGTGCACTGTCTGTCAGGTTGTCATGGTTTCTCAGTGCTGGCTGAATACTGTCTGCAGGAATTGGGTACCTGAACATCTCTGTTCCCACGCAGCTTGTAGGATGAAGCTCTGAAAGGTCTCACTCATGTAGCTTTGCTTGCCTATTCATTACGTTTCTCCTCTCGAGAGTAAAAACGTTAATGAGAAAAAACACAGTATCTGAGAAACAGTGTAATCTATTGCAACAATAGGAAAAAAAATCTTGTTAACAACAGACCCTAACCCTAGGTTAGAAGAATATTGCCACAGCATGTACAATACATACAAATACCAATATCCAACAAGACATTGGTATGTTCATTTTTCTTCCAGGTTCTTTAAACAAGATGCAGATTGCTAACATTATGGGTTGAAATCTGGAAGCAGACAATCAAAACACATTTGATACCCATCCTAAGAATAGAAAATTGTTACAGAATTAGAAATCTTTGGATGCTGAACTTTCACCCTAGACATCTGTGACATTTTTGCTAATAAAGAACTACAATAAACATAGGAAGAGTGTATAGACACTATCACCTGCCCAGCATATGTTGCTGTTGCAGACGCTGCCAATAAAGATCAAAGCTTTCCCGGCATTAATGAGCTCAAACTAAGCACTGCACAATCTTGCAGCAAGCTCTAGACCTCTACTGACTTCTACTGAGTAGAAGGTTGGGCCAGATGAACTCTGGACCCCTTTCCAACCAAGTATTTTATGAGCCTGTACAACATTTCATAAAACAAATTCAATTTATTTTGTTGCAATTCAGGATTTGGGTAGCAGAAAGCCTGGTAAAAACAGCTCATAATCATTACTTGCCCAGAAGAAATTGACAGTAGCTGGCATGAACTTCAAAATTAGTGGAACAAATAGAACATAAAAATCCCTTTTTTCACCAATGATCTAAATGTCTTCACTAAAAGATAGCTATGGCTAAGAACTTGTATCCAGACACCAGTGGGCATGTGATAACAGACTACAAGGTCAATTAAACAGACAGCAACATCCTAAGTCGTCTCAGCTAATAAACAGATGATAACCCTCCAGAAATCTCCATGCGGGTTAAAAAAAAACAGCATTTTATGACCTCTTCAATTTATGACAAAATGAGCAAAATTCAATTCATACAGCTGGCAAGTGGAAGTTCAGCCCATGCACCCAGGAAATGGTGACATCACAGCACTCCTCTGGATGACTACAGCATGTTTTCAGCTATGGATCAAGGCATAACTTTTCCATTACTTCTCAGGCTCCCCACAAATCAAGGAGCACCATTAGATCTCAAAGAATTATTAAACAGTGTTTATTTAGATGCTACTGACGCATGGTGTCTTGCTTGTTTACACACTTCATGTTTTCAGTAACGTTGTATTTATAAGAAGCATAATGAAAGAATTCAAGAAACAGTCTTTGCACAATTACATAAAAAGCCTTGAAGATCTCTTTGAATTCAAAAAAGATTGGAAGAATAACTAACCTCAATCTGATTTTACTTTTTAAGTGCTTTTCATAAAGAAAACTGACTATTCATTTCTCTCCCTCCCCAATTCCCCCAGTAAGCCAAGAACTACTGTTTTACTTTTCTTCATCCATATAGAGCCTAGGAGAAAAGTGTACAGTTTCACAGTTGATAGATTATTTCTGATTTCTGTGAATGCTCAGAGTCAAATCAGGATTTTCAAATTCACCTTTGATTTCATGAAATTTCTCCCCTTCATTACCTTGCAATGGACTCTTAAAGGTTTTGATTACATGTGCTGCAAGATCAGCCATTTAATCATCAACAAAATGTGGGCCTAGATTTTATACAGTATCCGTGATACAAAATCCATTTCAGCTTTCCTTAGGAAAAAAAAAAAAACCACATTAATACAACTGCATGTAAATAATTATAGCGGAACACATGGGCAGAAACAAAAAGAAAGCATGTAAATCAGAGGTTTGTTCTACCAAATGTGAATTGAGATGAAGAGTAGAACTGATTAAAAAGATCCCGAAAATGCAATTGTACTACACAGTTTGCAGCAGAGAAAGTATTTGAACAAGACCACAAAAGCATGCGTTGGGCAGGACCTAAGTTACTAGAGTATAAGAGGAAAATGTGAGGGGAATACAAATCTTAGGACATACATTAAAACCACTGTAGACAGCTGATGATTTTTTTTCCTGAAACTGCTGGGGACAGCACTGAGTTCTAATAGTTCCAACCCACAAAGGAAAGAAGAGAAATCTACAATCAGTTGATCAGCTTGGAAGACTAAGTTAAGGCTTCTGGGATGGAAGAGTTAAATCCCTTGCACTTTTTTGAGCAAAAAACATACATTAGTCTTCTTTGATCTATTGTGCAAGGGATGCTCTTTCAAAAGTACTGGCCAGCTTCACATATTACATAGCAAAGGAGCTGTGCACTTGCTTGAAAACCTCAAGCTGGGAGCTGCTAATGGAGTGGGAAAGTAGGCAGATCTCAGAAGCAGCCATCCACAATTTACTTTATG